GACAATTTCCCTATTTTGACCCATCATTTCAATGGTAGGCCTTGCCTGGATGACCACATGTCATTTTCTTGAACAGGTTAACATCACATTTGCACATATAATTGAATTAAAATCATTAAACAATTGTAAACCATAACAATGTACGTAACATTGTTGATTGTCAATGAGTATATTAATTGACCATGTGCTATTATACATAAAATATTGTAAAAATGTAGAGGACAATCACCACAGTGTGTTCAAAATGTCTGCCAAAGAGGAACATGGCATCATGTGATGCTGGTGACATGGTATTGGGACAAACAATTTTTGAGTTAAAGGGGGAAGTTCTGTCAGTAACATAGTTGACAGAACTTTTGCGGACATTCATATATTAAGATATTTAAATTATTTAAAGGGGGAAATCAATTAAAAATATGTTATTATTCTTTAGTATTTAGACTTTTGAAATAAATGAATCATTTTTTAAATTTACTTTAATGGTTTTTATTCATTATTTTGAATCCAAGACACCCTCAACTGAAAAACGGACATAGCAAAAACTGACAATTTAAGAACATCATGACACATTTCAAGCTAAATAAAGCATAGGATGCACATAATGTTTGTGTGATATTATAACATGCTTTCCAATAATAGGCAAAATATGATATTTTTGAAGAAAATAGTTAGAATAATTATAATTATCATCAATGGACATCAATGGACATGGAATGTACCCTAAATTGTAGAATCACTCAGCAGTTACATACACCAAACCTTCCAGTTATATTCCTATCAATATTATGAAGGCTTTTACAGAAGGGTTTGGTCATATATAATTCATAGCCTGAATTATATAACATTTTATACCTAAAAACATGGTGAAAATTGATATTTTAGGGCTGTTGACAGTATTTTCTGATTTATGGAGTGATACAAAGAGATATCCAAAATCCCTTCTGTAAAAGCCTTAGATACTAATATGACTACAAAATGAAACAATAATTTTGATCCTGGCTTTATCCAAAGTTCAGATTTCGGTTCCTGAAATGTGTTAAAATATGCGCATATTTCATGAGATAATGGTTCATTTGGATATTTAAACATGCTATTTCAGAAAACTTGTAATACAAAAAACAATTGCCTTATTATAAGTAATTAACTGGAGAAATATTTAGCTGATATCTTTAAGTTAAAAATACCCTATTCACCTGGGGTGTCTCGCCTTAATTAGATGTTTGATAAGTGCAGATCACATAGTAAAACACGTACACAGATACATTATTTTGTATTTTTATTAAATTCGACAATGTCAATTTCACTTTCCACTATGTCCACCGTTGTTTTTCACAACCAATGGCAGAACTTTATTGAGGCCTGTAATTAGTCAACTACAGGTCTCTTGAGTCAGTCTTTTTCTTCCAAAAAGCTTGTGACAAGATGTTATTGCTCTTGGGGCATTAAAAACAAGATTTTAACTTTAGTTTTTTATATAATATCTGCATTTTCTATTGTGAAAAACGAAGTCTTAGTTATTTAATATATAGCGCCATCTCCTGGTTAAACCCTGAAATTGGAGAATAGTGGGAGGGCCTAACATTCCTGAATACTGGTCTTTGGCAGGCAACTGGCTGGCAACTGGCTGGCAGTCGGCAGGAAGCTGTATGCTGGGGTCCAAAATAAGAGGCTCCATCTGTACATCAGCTTCTGGGAAGACAGCTGTGTACCAACACGCACCAGGGTGAGTTTCAACAACAACAAGCCCTGGTTCACACCAAAACTGAAACAGCTAAGATTGCAAAAGGAGGAGGCGTTTAGGAGTGGCGAGAAGGCACGTTTTAGAGAGTCAAAGTACGTCTTTGGCAAGGCGGTGAGAGGCGGTGAGTGATGCTAAACGACAATACTCTGAGAAACTTCAACATCAGCTCTCAGCAAACGACTCTGCTTCTGTCTGGCGTGGTCTAAGACAGATCACAAACTACAAGCCAAAAGCCTCCCTCTCCATGAACAACCGACGCCTTGCAAACGATCTGAGGCCCCGGCTCCACGGGAACGCATACGGCAAAACGCATCGGAGTAACGCAAATGCAACCGCAAAAAAGCTTCCGCCCACACGCAATATACGCCGGATTGTGTCAAGCTCCACGAGACGGCTCCGTTTACATCCAACCTGCTCCAAAAGCTGCAGTACATATGCCGAACCTGTACATGGCGCTGTAACTTCCTCCACAAAAAGCAGCAACTTCCTCCACAAAAGCAGCGAAGAAGAATGGTTGTCATGGCTGCACTTCCGTTTATTCTCCGCGGTGGGGGCCGAGGGAACCGCGCAGAGTTTTTCGCCGGTCAACGTGTGTTAAAGTTTAAATCTTCATGCTTCCTCATGCAGCAGCTGATCCACTAAGTAAACCCGACAGTAAAAATAAACATATTTATAACTAGTTTAGGCAGTTTGAGAGGTAATTAAAATAGCTAAGGGTGATGATCTGACTTGAAGTGTGTGTTTTGCTCCCGCTGCATCACAGCGGGAGGAGCTGCGTGTCTCCGTCCTGTCAGATTAGACTTCACTCGCGTCTATGTCCATATCGAGATAAAGATAAATAATCTGAATTCAGTGTGCAGTGTACTTTTGCGGGGGTGAGCAGCAGAGGTGGGGAGAGGCGGGGCTATTGCGTCGACATTATCAGAAACGGATGACCGTATAGGCGACCACACGGCCCCGTTGGACCCCCCAGAGCGCTCCGTTCCCAGATCTATCCACCTTTGGACCCGTTGTCGTTTGCAGGGTCTGTTTCTACGTTTCCGTTACGGCGTCGTTAAGCTTAAAGGGCTATACGCATGAGAAATATGCGGATTCAACCAGTTTTCGTTCCCGTGGAGCCTAGGCCTGAATCAGTTCTACAGCAGATTTGAAGACAGAGAGTTCAGTCCTGACACCATCCCCCATGACACCTCTCAACAGCTTCAGTCTCACACCTCCACATCCCCCTCCCCTTCAGTATCTCACTCCCCCACACCACTGACCTCCCCCGACACATCAGACTCTCTCTCAATCAATGAAAGGGATGTAAACAGACTTTTCAGTAAACTCAATACCAGAAAAGCGGCTGGCCCTGACAATGTCTCCCCCTCCCTGAAGCTCTGTGCTGATCAGCTGTCTCCTGTGTTTACTGACATCTTTAACACCTCACTGGAGACATGCCACGTCCCAGCATGCTTCAAAACCTCAACAATCATCCCGGTTCCCAAGAAAGCAAGGATCACAGGACTAAATGACTACAGACCCGTCGCCCTGACCTCTGTGGTTATGAAGTCCTTTGAGCGCCTTGTCCTGTCCCACCTGAAATCCATCACAGACCCACTCCTGGACCCCCTGCAGTTCGCCTACAGAGCCAACAGGTCTGTGGACGACGCTGTCGACATGGCCCTTCACTTCCTCCTCCAGCACCTGGACACACCAGGAAACTACGCCAGGATCCTGTTTGTGGACTTCAGCTCCGCCTTCAACACCATCATCCCGGCTCTGCTGCAGGACAAGCTCTTCCAGCTGCACGTGCCCGACTCCACCTGCAGGTGGATCACAGACTTCCTGTCTAAAAACAGTGGAGATGGTCGTGGACTTCAGGAAGAACGCAGCCCCACCCACCCCCATCACTCTGTGTGACTCCCCAGTAACTGCTGTGGAGTCTTTCCGCTTCCTGGGCACCATCATCGCCCAGGACCTCAAATGGGAGCAGAACATCTGCTCCCTCATCAAAAAAGCCCAGCAGAGGATGTTCTTCCTGAGGCAGCTGAAGAAATTCAACCTGCTAAAGACGATGATGGTGAACTTCTACACCTCCATCATGGAGTCCATCCTCACCTCCTCCATCACCATCTGGTACGCTGCAGCCACAGCCAAGGATAAGGGCAGGCTGCAGCGTGTCATCCGCTCTGCAGAGAAGGTGATCGGCTGCAATCTGCCATCCCTCCACGACCTGCATGCAGGGAAGATAGTGGCCGACCCCTCTCACCCTGGACACAAACTGTTCGCCCCCCTCCCCTCTGGCAGGAGGCTGCGCTCCATCAGGACCAATACCTCTCGCCACCTGAACAGTTTCTTCCCCTCCGCTACCAGCCTCTTAAACAAGGCCCGGCCCCCCCGCTGACACTTTACCTCTGCCACATCATAGACTATATGCATTACATTAATGCACACAATGTTCATACTCCTTTCTGCACATATTCTGATTTCACATTTCATAGTTTATATGCAAAAATTCATTCATAGCATTCTATTTCCATGTAAATTACTGCTTTATTTTATTTTTATTTTATTGCTATTTAAAGGTGGGGTAGGTAATTTTGAAGAAACCAGCTGGAGTGCGCTAAAATTTGAAAATACACAGCCGGAAAAAATCTGCCACTTCCTTACAGAGCCCCTCCTCCAACACACACGAACGCGCACATGACCAATGAGGGCACGAGATAAGTTTGTGCACAGATGGAAGGCTGACAGGCAGGTAGGCCATCCAGTTATTTTAGCCGGGCCGGCTAAAAGGATTGGTCGTGCTTTTTACAGTATTACGGCTTCCACAGATGACATTTTTTTATGGATTTTTTGTCAAAGCACTTAAGATATTCATTGCTATCGGGATGTTAAGAGCATTCCATGGAATATAACAACAAGTGTATCTCGAGCCGGTTTCTCAAACTTACCTACCCCACCTTTAAGTGTATTTTATTACGGTGTAAAAGATTTTGTGTTTTATATCAGATTTTTTGTTTTTTATATTTTATGTATGCACCATGACATCAAGTCAAATTCCTAGTATGTGCGAACCTACCTGGCAATAAACCTGTTTCTGATTCTGATTCTGATAATGGTTTTGTGGTTTATTGTTTTGAAGAAGAAAAATAAACAACAAACCGAAGGAGAATCGAAATGTATTATTATTCTAATTTGATAAAACTGGAAATGAGTTGATATAAATGGCTGAACAAAACCAATCTGACAGTTGACATATCAGCTGAACTCTGACCTGAGAGTCTCCAGAGTACAGTGTTGACCCTCCAGTCCACCAGACAGCAGCTTCACTCCTGAATCCGGCAGGTCGTTGTTACTCAGGTCCAGATCTCTCAGACTGGAGGACTGGGAGCTGAGGACTGAGGACAGAGCTTCACAGCTTCTCTCTGACAGGTTACAGCCACTCAGCCTGGGGAAAGATCAGCAGTGAACACAAAGAGTTTTATTCTCATATCTCAAACTGTTCCTAGTTAATGTAGTTTTATCTCCACTTACAGAGCTTTCCTGGAGGCTTTGATCACTGGCAGCAGCCTCAGAAGAGCCTTCTCTGAAGCGGAGTATTTCTTCAGGTCAAACACGTCCAGATCTTCTTCTGATGACAGTAAGATGAAGACTAGAGCTGACCACTGAGCAGGAGACAGTTTATCTGTGGAGAGACTTCCTGAACTCAGGTACCGTTGGATCTCCTCCACTAGAGAACGATCATTCAGTTCATTCAGACAGTGGAACAGGTTGATGCTTTTCTCCGGAGACGGGTGCTTTCTTATATTTTTCTTGATGTATTCAACTGTTTTCTGGTTGGTCTGTGAGCCACTTACTGCCTGTGTCAGCAGGTCGTGTAATAAGGTCTGATTGGTCTCCAGTGAAAGACCCAGGAGGAAGCGGAGGAACAAGTCCAGGTGTCCGTTTGGACTCTGTAAGGCCTTGTCCACAGCACTCTGGTAGAGATGTTTAGGTTTTTGTCTGAAGACTTTAGGCCACCAGGGGGCCATGAGGTTGACTCCAGAGTTGATGAAGGTCAGATGGACATGAAGAGCAGCCAGAAACTCCTGAACGCTCAGATGGACGAAGCAGAACACTGTGTTCTTGTACGTTCCTCTCACCTCTTTAAAGACCTGTGTGAACACTCCTGAGTACACTGAGGCTGCTCTGATATCGATGTCACACTCTCTCAGGTCGGACTCATAGAAGATCAGGTTGCCTTTCTGCAGCTGCTCAAAAGCCAGTTTTCCCAGAGACTCCATCATCTTCTTCCTGCTCTCTGGACTCCAGTGTGGATCCGTCTCAGCTCCTTCATCATACTTGACGTTCACTTTGGACTGAACCACCAGGAAGTGGATGTACATCTCAGTCAGCGTCTTGGGCAGCTCTCCTCCCTCAGTTTTCAACATGTCCTCCAGAACTGAAGCAGAGATCCAGCAGAAGACTGGGATGTGGCACATGATGTGGAGGCTTCGTGAGGTCTTGATGTGGGAGATGATGGTGCCGGCCTGCTCTTGATCTCTGAATCTCTTCCTGAAGTACACCTCCTTCTGTGGGTCAGTGAACCCTCGGACCTCTGTCACCATGTCCACAAACTCAGTGATCTGATTGGCTGCTGCAGGTCGTGTGGTTATCCAGAGGCGAGCAGAGGGAAGCAGCTTCCCCCTGATGAGGTTTGTCAGCAGCCGATCCACTGAGGTGGACTCTGTGACATCAGTCAGGACCTTAGTGTTGTGGAAGTCCAGAGGAAGTCGACACTCATCCAGACCGTCAAAGATGAACAGAACCTGGAACTGATCAAACCTGCAGATTCCTGCGTCTCTGGTTTCAGAGAAGAAGTGATGAACAAGTTCCACCAAATTGTACTTTTCATCACTCACCACATTCAGCTCTCTGAAGGTGAATGGAAATATGAACTGGATGTCCTGGTGGGCTTTGCCTTCAGCCCAGTCCAGAGTGAACTTCTGTGTTAAGACTGTTTTCCCAATGCCAGCCACTCCCTTTGTCATCACTGCTCTGATTGGTTTACCTCTTTCAGTTAATCCTTTAAAGAGGTCTTCTTGTCTGATGGGTGTTTCTGATCTGTCTGGTTTACTGGATGCTTGTTCGATCTGTCTGATCTCATGTTCCTTGTTGACCTCTGTGGTGTGTCCCCTGGTGATGTAGATCTCCGTGTAGATTTTATGTAGGGATTCAGATTTTTCCATAAATGTGATATGTTCAAATCTTTCCTTCAGGTTTGATTTGAGTTCACCTTGGCACTTAGTGAGAATATCTGAATGAATAAGAAAGACATTTACATGAAAGACACATCAAAAGATTTCCTTCTAATTGGACCCATTTCTGACAAAATAGCAGGTTAATTTCCTTATATCAAGTCACTGGATCTTGTTGCATATTTATCTGTACATTGTCCAGTATAAGTTCCACCCCACAGAGAACCATCTGTTTTCCCACAGAGAACCATGGCCCTAAACCTGACTGACTCTTATTCCTGCTGCTACCAGCAGATCCCAACACCCACTGAGGGTGTGGACACAGCTCTCTCTCCAGTTATACAGGAAGTGGATGGCTCTTACTGTGTTGCAGTATACTCCTGCAGTAGCCTACCATCTACAAGACACCCTGGGGGGTCCCAGTAATAACCCGTCCCTTCCTCACCAAGTCATGTAGGACGGCAAATGATACCCCCTTCCACCTGTAGGCGGCTGGGCCATTAGTAATGACTAGGACAGTCCCATTCAACATCATGAGACTGAGTCAGCAGCTAACCTACACTGTGGAAAACAGCCGGGGTTTATCCATGACTCCTCCTCCTGAGATATCTGACAGTTCGGCAGGACAAACCTCATTCCAAACAGAAATGGCCGTTTCCTGGGAAAACTTAGCACTCAAGGACTCACTGCCATTTCAGAGCACACTGATGACTTTCTGGTCATTCCTCTGATCCATCCCCTCCCCAACACTGGCTTTTAGCATGACCCACTTGTATTACATATCTCCAATGTCCCACCAGGATAAACTCGTTAATATAGCATTGGTGGTTCAGTGGTAGAATTCTCACCTGGATGCCCGGGTTAGATTCCCAGCCAATGCAGCAGAGTGTTTAAGTGGCGCAGTCTGCAGGAATTTGTGTTGGGAACCGAAGGGTCGCCGGTTGGAGTCCCGATCGGACCAAAATAATACGGAGTGTAGACTGGTTCCTGGAGAGGTGCCAGTTCACCTCCTGCCCTTGAGCAAGGCACAGAACCCCCAACTGCTCCCTGGCGCTGGATAGACTGGCCGCCTGTTTTGCTCAGGCCTCTCTCACCTGTCCTGTGCATGTGTGTGTATTGTACTGTCTGTTACAACAACCGAGTGAATCACTGAACTGAATTTCCCCTTTGGGATGAAATAAAGCGTCTTCTCCTTCTTAATAACATCGGCTGCTAATCATAATGACGTTGGATAGTGTCAGTGCGGTCGGACTCTCAAAGCACAGCAGTTTATTTTCCTAAGTCCTGATGAATCTTCCTATCATTAACCCCAAGATGTTTCACAGAGGTTAAGGAATTGTGGTTAGGAAGAGACGAAAGGCGATATATTTTAGAAAATGATACCGAAACCCAAACTTCCTAATCCAGAAAGGTAATTGTCTTCCTAAAATGCTGATCTATAAAGGTTTTACTACCCCTCACCTGGAACCAACAGGGTGACCCTGCCAGAAACTAGTGACCCTGACCTCTCTGCTTTCAGGGGTACCTCAATCCCGACACCATGTGGAGGTGATGGTTCTCAGAGGGGTATATCAGGAGTGAAAAATAAAAAAAGTTATATTTTGGTAAACTCTTTTTTAAAGACCAGGCCTCCCCTGACTGCACGTCGCTGAGCTGCACCCTTGATCCTATCCCCACCTCCCCACTGAAAGCCTGCTCTCCATCCATTATTCCAACTGCCACCATCATAATAAACAAATCCTTGTTGAGTGGTGAGGTCAGGCGCGCCGGATTCATTTTAGAAGTGGGGGGGCCAAAAAAGTGCGTGTGTATGGCCCAATCCCAAACCACGCCCTACACACTCCCCCTCTCCACGAGTGAACTCCGTGGAGTGACATGGGAGTGACACATGAGGCTCCCTCCTGTCAGATGGAGGGAGACAGCGGCAAGCTTTGGGACAAACTCCCCTCTCTCCGGCAGAAACAGGAAATGCCGTAACTGTATGTAACAACGGTTTCAAATCAGCATCTCTTAGACAAAAAATGTAAATTAATAACTCAAATAAAACTCCAAACATCTTTCATTGTGTTACTTTTTTGTAAAGCTCTTTTAGTTTTAAACCTGATGTTTATAAGCTTCTTAGTTTTTGCAAGTCTGTAAATATACACAACTTTATAATAAAATGCACACATTTACCTTTTTCTAGACTAAACACAGGTACGATCCTAAGTTAAAAACATATGAGGTTATCATGAGGTTGTTAACATCGCAGTTTATCAGTGGGTTATTGATTCTGCGTCAGTCTTAGGACAGTCATACATTCCTATGAAGTCTTCATGGACAACATAATCAGCTGATACCCATCGTACATTCAGAGACAACTGTTCATGGAGGCTTGGGCACTTTTTCCAGTTATTAACTCCGGTATTAACAAAGCTATCATCTCCACATTTTGAGAAAGTTACAAGCCGTTTGACAGCAAATCTGCATATTTCACAGAAGGCCCGTTTAGTGGTTTTGCAAATAATTAACCACTCTCTGTTTTTGTACCATTCTGCGTTGAAGTACCTTTCTCTTTGCCCAGACGATCTAGCGGTCTCCTTTTTTTCGACAGTTAGCTGTACAGCTTTACCCGCCTCAATGTCCCGACAACAAACCTCCATGCAGTCGGAACCAGCCTGTTTCGGTTCAACGACGGCGGTGGGGGTGGCGGCGGCGGCGGTTTTGACAGTCTCTGCGGCCGCAGAGACACACCTGTGTCACACCTCATACCAGAGCTGCTGCTTTTGGGTTTATCTGGCTTCGCTGGTTCTTCTATGATTGATGAAGGTCCAGGCTCCGGAGAAGTGGATGTCTGGGATGTGACCTTCCAGTTGTTAAATGTAAGTTTAGATTGACTGTATTTAGTTTTCTTCTGCGCTGGTTCTTCTGACTTGTTTGCAAGTGTATCTATTCTTTCTATCTGGTTAACGGCTGACACACACAGAACAACGTAACAAATAAACTAAACAATGTAACAAATAAACACATCTAAGCTTTTTTATTGGTTGTAATTTACATGGATACATTTGAATGGTGTGACAATGTCCTATTTGATTGGGTTAAAATGTACATATTCTTCCTGTTATGTCTGCCTGCTTTATTTTACCTAATGCAAAGTGACCTGCTCCATCGAAATCTGTCACATTGACCCGAAGACACATTTTGAGTTATATACACTGTTGGAAAGAGGAGATTCATAGCTTTCTAATGATATCAGGATTGTTTTTCCAAATATTAAGCAAAATATGTCACATTATATAATGACTGTCACCGAGTCATCATTTTGAGAAAAAGGCCTTTAAAGTTTCCTCTTCTCTGGAAGCGGAGCAAATGATCAAAGTAGTAACGGAGGGAAGATATTTTCGTTTGGATTACTGGTCTGGGAGAAGCCCGCGAGTGTGTGTGTATACGTGTGTGTGTTTGTGTATTTTTGCGTTTGTGTGTGTTGTGTTTGTTTCCCGGGGAAAACACTCACGAGAAACACCGGCTGTTGTTATGCCTGCTGTGACGTTACGTTACTCCGTTCTCCGCTTGTAATTATGTCTACAAGCTTCAAAGTTGTATTTATCATCTGAATTTGCCGAAACAAGTTTCATATTCTGAAAGCCAAGACTTTGTTTATTTGAAATCAGATACAAACAAACTGTAACGGACCCTGCCGTGTTATATATGATTACTATACGCCTTACATTCATAATTTCAGCAGAGGGAGGGGAAGCGGCGCTGTGGAAGAGTGGCGAGTGAGAGCTGTCATCTTCCCTTCACAAGCTTAAAAAATGCCTGTAGCTAATGAGATTGAATATAACAATAAAAAATACCAAAATATACACAGCTAGATCAGATCGCGTTTTAGATGCGACTTTAGAGTAGAGGGGAATTATTGAAACGGGATTTGTACAGTGTTCCGCGGCATCCGCCGCTGCGAAAATGTGGGGCAGGGCTGAAAAGTGGGGGGGCCAATGGCCCCCTGGCCCCCCCGCTTCCGGCGCCCTTGGGTGAGGTCCCCCCCTCCCTCGAGCTGGCAGCCATCAGACCGCTCCTGTAGAAGCACAACCTGGATCCTGAGGTACTCACAAACTACCGCCCCATCTCAAACCTGCCTTTTCGAGCAAAAGTTCTGGAAAAAGTTGTTGCCCTTCAGCTTCACAAACATCTCCACACTCATGAGCTCTATGAAACCTTCCAGTCCGGTTTCAGACCAGCTCACAGCACTGAAACAGCTCTGGTGCGGGTTCTAAATGACCTGCTGATGGCGGCTGACTCTGGTTCCCCAAGCCTACTCATCTTGCTGGGCTTAAGTGCAGCATTTGACACTGTTGACCATCGCATCATTTTTTCATTTAATCGTTTATTTGGCAGGGACAATGCACAGTAATGAACACTTAAAACATTCAAATGTGTCAAGCGTAACAGTGCCAGATTTAGCTTTGAGCTAATTTCTATCCGCAGTCCCTCACTGCAAAAAGTGCAAAAGAGCAAGAGCAGCATACACAAGTATTTACCACATGGCAGTACAATATAGCAGCTACGACATATAAAGTGCAGGAGAAGATACAAGAGCTACCTAAAGGGCAAGAGGAGATACCCCTGTGTTAAAGTGCATTTAGCGGTGATTACATGTCTGTTTGTTTCTCAACCATTCTTTTAGTTGACCTTTAAAGCTATTGAGAGTGGGACAATCCCGTATCTGAGTTGGGAGGCTATTCCACAAAGAGCTGCCTTTAATGGAGAGGACATTTTGTCCAAAGTGGTCCGTCTGTGGTGGACTTCACAGTCTCCTCTGGTTTCTCACCTAGTACAGCGTCCAGTATGTTTTCTGTGGATGAATTCCCCTAAGAGAGGGGGGGGGGGGCAGTCCATGTAAACATTTATAACAAAAACACATACTTTTAAAAGACTTGAAATGGTCAAAACTCAAGAAATGGTGTTTATCAAGGATGGTACAGTGGTGGTATGAATATGGCTTTCTGATTTGTATTTGTTATATTACCATATTTTATTCAATATGCTCCTTTAGATATCTTTTTATTTTATTTATTTTATTATTTTCTCCTTATAGCTTTGTGAAGCACCTTGAGATGACGTTCTCTTTAAAGAGTGCTATATAAATCAAATGTATTGAGCTGTGACATGGAGAAGAGTGATGGACAGGTGGAGATCTCACCTCTGAGCTTTGGTCTGGCTGTCATGTTCCCCAGAGCTTTTAGAGGGGGGGGCTTCCTCCTCTCTGTCCTCACACTGATCCATAGCAGAGCCCCCACCTTCACACAAACACAACAACATGCTCATTCATTACCACAAGCTTTACATCACAGGTAGCTCCTCCTCTCAGATATTCAGGAACCTTGTTGGAGCCTCAACAGGACCGGACCAGCCCAGAATGTTCCCCACGGCCCCAGAACCACACAGAAACTCAGTGTGTTGACCCCTAAATATGTGTTAGTGTGTCGCAGTGTATCACAGCACACACAAACAGTCACTTCAATGTACATCCACAGGTAATTTACAGCCCAGCCCCCCACAAGATATCCCACACAACTGAACTGCGCTCACTAACCATTCAACAAAACTTCTTTGTTAGGTTTAGAAAAAATATAATTGTTTGGCTTAAAATATGTACGTTAATTACATGAAAACAGTTACGGACTTTAATTAAAATGAGGTCTTTTGTGAAGTGATAAGAAATGTGTTTTTGATATATCATAGAAAATATGAAAAATAAGTTCCCTCATAACTAAGTTACAATGCAGTTCAAATCTATGGGAAGAATATTTTTTATTTTTTATTTTTTTGAAATCTCCCATTTACTTTTCATGCAAATGTTTTGTATAGCCCAACATATATATCAAAACATGTACTGTTATATATATTTTCGAATTTGGGCGATCTAGTCCCAGATGTATAATCTAAAATTTAAAAAAAAGATTTGACATTTTCAAGGCTCTTCAGTGAAACCAGGTCAGTGTTGGAAGACGGGCCCTTCCCACTCCTTCCCTTATTCAGACTATTAAGAGTTAGACAGAAAAACAGTCACGACTTGTTAGAGCAGGATCTGACTTGCCCTGCATTTTTATCTGATGACGAGAGCTCAGAGAACAATCAGACTGTAACTCATACCTGAAACACTGACAACAGTACATGGAGATCTTTCTAAACTCATTCTGCTTTCACTCAGAGAGAAACCCTACACAATATTTCAGACAGATGTTCAAACAGACCCTGGATATGTTTGAGTTATCTTAACTAACCCTAACAAACGAGATCTCGCTAAGTGGTCCTACGACGCTGGTTATCAACTCAGTAAATCAACCAGGGTTTCACAAACATGGACAAGCGTACTGACAACGCAGCGTCATACTTCATGATTGAATAGTAAACTATGATGTTAGACAAATATGAAGACGTTCAACTTTTAACATCCATGACTTAACACTTTATCCAGGATAAAAGCCACATAGTTGCACGTGCAAGGTGAATACAGAACAGCTGGTAAAAAAAAAACTACCAAGTGTTTGAATGCGTTCATTAACAGTTTTATGATATCACTGCCTGTCTACTCACAGACTCTCTTCAGGTCTACTCACAGACTCTCTTCAGGTGAGGAGGAAACTCTGCTCATCTCTTCTTCTTCAGTCCTGAGTCTGCCTGCATCTGATCTGAGGACGCCTTCACACCCTCAGAAATCCAGAGAGTAAAAACACGTCAGAGCAGTGTTAATTTTGGCAGCCGTTTTTGATTTAGTCTTAGTCATAGTCTTTAGATGAAAATGGTTATTAGTTTTAGTCACATTTTAGTCATTTCTATCCTTCATAGTTTTAGTCTAGTTTTAGTCGACGAAAACTCAAAACGTTTTAGTCAACTTTTAGTCAAAATGTTTTCTCTCTTTAAACCAATTCAGTTTGGCAAACACAGGTATCTGAAATCTGAATCAAGGTGACAGCATCAAGTGTTGAAATTCGTAAAGCAACATTTCACTCTCTTAACACTTTACTTGTGTAATATCTAGGGATGGGTATCGTTAAGGTTTTCTATGGTACTACTAGTCTTATCGAAACTGCTTATCGATCCGGTACTTTAACGGTATTTTTGTATTTATTTTTGGTTATTTTTTAAAGGAAAAAACTAACAAATTGTTAACCGAATTAATTGCTTTATTTAAATGTGAAATAAATGAAATATATATAATTATGTTAAAATATTGTATTGTACTTGAGTAAAATGTTGAGGTACTTGTACTTTACTGGAGTATTTAAATGTTTTGCTACTGTGTACTTCTACTCCACTACAGTTCAGAGGTAAATGGTGTACTTCTACTCCACTACATGTATTTAATACCTTTAGTTACTTTACAGATGTGGATGAATGATGTGAAATATAATCAAGTGTTAAATCAGACTTTAGTTCCACCTGGAGTAAATTCACAAGCTACCCTGGCAGTATACAAAGTCATTCAAACTAGCTGCACCTTTACCAGCTTTGAGAACACTTTCATGATCAATCATTATAAAACATATCATATATATTATTCTGAAATGGACCAATCTGCACAATGACTACTTTTACTGTCGCTACTTTAAATATATTTTGATGATCATACTTTGACTTGAGGAACTCTTCCTACACTATGGTATTTTTTGACTTAGCTACAAGATCTGAGTACTTCTCCCACCTCTGCACACCTGATGTGATAACGTTACTCGTAATTGGGGCAACAGAGCTACGAGTTAAGGAAGTCGAAAGTTGTGCATTTCTCCGACTGAATATGACGCCTTTTGGCCGGCTGTTTGGACAGACTACTCTACTCGTGTCAACGCGCTAACGCGAAAACATGGCAAACGAGCTTTGTCCACATCGAGCCTTGTAGAGTGTCTCTTTACTCTCTGAACGCTCCGTCCCCGGCAGATCTCTGTGTCCGCTGCAGCGTGTCTGTTAGGCCCCGCCCCCTGCACACAGAGAGAGAGTGAGGCCCCGCCCCCCGCACACAGAGAGAGAGAGAGGACCCGCCCCCCGCACACAGAGAGACACAGGGAGATCGCTCTTCTGGAGTGAAGAGAGCGGAAATAATGATATTGCAAGTTAGAAATGTAAGATGCATTTTGACAGACAAGATGGGCAATTGGGGGGAAATATGCTGCATTTTGAATTCATTTCATTTCAAACCTTTATTTATCCAGGTTGTATCCCATTGAGATCATTGACCTCTTTTTCAAGGGAGACCTGCTCAAGTAGGTTCCACATGAAACATTAAAAACATAAACAGAACAACAAAAGGACATCATACAGCATCATTACAGGGATTACAATTTACATAACTATCCACATGCACAGGTACCAACAGCTTCCGATTGAGTAGCATCCAACCGAGCTTTAAAAACATTGAGTGGCACCAGATTGCTCAGTTTCCATTTTAATTGCAGACTATTCCAGGACAGTGGAGCTGCGCATCTAAATGCTATCTTCCCTAAGACAGTCCTAGCAGTTGGCACATTTAATAAAACCACAGCATGCGATCTCAGGCAGTAGCCACTTACAATTCGCCGTGAGATCAGGGAGCAGATGTAGGATGGAAGTTTCCCTAACATGGCTTTATATATAAAAATGTACCAGTGACTGAGCCTCCGTGCAGTTAGTGAAGGCAGACCAGCCCTTGCATACAGGGTACAGTGATGGGTTAATGCTTTACAGTTTGTCACAAATCTCAGTGCACTGTGATACGCAGCATCTAACTTGACCAGGCAATTGGCAGGTGCATTCATATAAATCAAATCACCATAGTCCAGCACAGGTAAAAAGGTCACAGTGACTAGCCTTTTTCTGGCCTCGAGCGAGAAACAGGACTTGTTCCTGTAGAAGAAACCTAGTCTAACCCTCAGTTTTTTAAGCAGGTTATTGACATGACGTTTAAAAGTGAGACAATCATCAAGCCAGATACCAAGGTATTTGTAACAGGCAACCACTTCAAGTTTTAATGTCCGATAGTCCACCATTAACACCTTAGTCCCGTCTCGTCTCGTCAACGAAAACTAAATATACATTTCGTCAAATTTTCGTTATCAAGAATCTATTTTTAGCTCGTCATCGTCTCGTCTTAGTCGTGTAAAAAAGGTCGTTGACGAACATTTTTCGTCATAGTTTTCGTTGACGAAATTAACACTGCGTCAGAGTCACGTGGAAACCGGCCTTACAGGATGTAGCTGTCAGCCTGCCAGACTCTCCCTCATCTGCCTTATTCAGACTATTAAGAGTTAGACAGAAAAACACCCTGACACACCCTGCATTTCTCTCTGATGAAGAGAACTCAGATAACAATCAGACTGCAACTCATTCTACCTGGCTGAAACACTGACAACAGTACATGGAGATCTTTCTAAACTCATTCTGCTTTCACTCAGAGAGAAACCCTACACAATATTTCAGACAGATGTTTAGAATCAGCATCAAGAAACATGTGTCCTGTCCAGGTAAACAGTGACTCTGTCCAGGTAAACAGTGACTCAGAAACAGATTCCTGTGGGAGGATTCTCACCTGCTGAACGCTCTTCAGGTCCACTCACAGACGCTCTTCAGGTCCACTCACAGACTCTCTTCAGGTCCACTGACAGACTCTCTTCAGGTCCACTCACAGACTCTCTTCAGGTCCACTCACAGACTCTCTTCAGGTCCACTGACAGACTCTCTTCAGGTCCACTCACAGACTCTCTTCAGGTCCACTCACAGACTCTCTTCAGGTCCACTCACAGACTCTCTTCAGGTCCACTCACAGACTCTCTTCAGGTCCACTGACAGACTCTCTTCAGGTCCACTCACAGACTCTCTTCAGGTCCACTCACAGACTCTCTTCAGGTCCACTCACAGACTCTCTTCAGGTCTACTCACAGACTCTCTTCAGGTCCACTCAGACTCTCTTCAGGTCCACTCACAGACTCTCTTCAGGTCCACTCACAGACTCTCTACAACAGTTTAAACACCAACTGTCGCAAGTATGACTTCTGTGAAAGAGGAACTCTGTACTTCCCCTATTAGCTGCAGAGGAAATGAGGGGGGGGGGGGGTTGAAGTGCCTCAGTAGTTAACCACTCAGGGGTCACCTGCAGACAAAGAGAAACTTATATTATGAGAGAGTGATATCTGTCTTATATCTTTAGCACTTACTACTATTTACTACTACTAATGCCATTGGGGCCCCAATGGCATTGACCGGTTCACGCAGTCTTCAAAGTAACCAAGCAACCTAAATTAATTTGTAATTTGTCTGTCCAATGACCTTGCTCCCTTTCATGCAGGGCCGGTCCTTAGCATTGGCGTTATAGATGTTCGCCTAGGGCGCCACATCTGGGGGGCGCTGCGCTGGTAGCTCTGGGAGGGGGAAAACATTTTTGACCGTTGGCGCTCATCCTAATTTTCGGCCTAGATGTAACAATATTCATAATTAAAGGGGACCTATCATGCAAAATGCACTTTTGTACGTCTTTTATACATGAATATGTGTCCCCGGTGTTCCAGGGAACTCACCAAGTGTCAGAAAACACAACCCTCTCTATTTTCCTCCATACCCAAATCTCTAAAAAAGGGGCTGCAACGGATCTGATAAAAACTGATCCAGATTTGAACACTTCTATGTCGTCACAGAAGTGGCGCTACGGCTATTGGGCCAACTCTCCACCTATCAGGGGAATGTGGGGTTGGGCCACGGCCGGCCATTGCCGCTCGAAAGCGCTGGAGACGCTGTAGTACATATGCCAGGCCTGTAAGTGGCGCTGTAGTCTGCCACAAAAAAAAGCGAAGAAGACTTCCCGCCCATAGTTACCATGGTTACCCTTCTGTTTATTCTCCGCTGTGGCTTTCTTTCTCCCTCCCCGAGGCAAGCGTTTGCTCCCGCTGCTTTAATTCAATGCAATCCCTCCCCGTCGAGGCAAGCACTGTAATTCTCTCCGGTTAGTCCACCAGCAGATGACAAACACCCACCTCTCCGCCTCTTCCAAGGAACGAGGGGACCGTGCGGCAGAGTTTCAGTTTCAGTTTGTTTCGCCGGTCAACATGTCCGTTAAAGTTTAAATCTTCCAGACAAAATTAGAAAAGTGCCGGTCAAAGGTCTTCTTTGTTATTTATTGAGCTTTAAAACAAATGAATAACGACTCTATATAATAAAACACGGAGGACGGAGATCTCTTTTTCTCCCCCTCTTCTGACAGCCCAGCAGCTGATCAGAGCACATCTCCCCTCTCCTGCAGGGGGGCGTGGTCAGCTGCAGCTCACAGAATCAGCCCCCTGTAAAAATAGTGCTGGAGAACAGCACATATGCGGCTTTCACACCAGCGCTTTTCCCTTTCTAGCTCCTAGCGAGAGCTTTTCTGGTTCAGCTCCGGTTTCCCTTTTCAGCTCCCGCTCTGTTCACACTGCCCAGAGCTGACGCTGCTGCGTCATGACGTCACAGTTTACGTCTCTGATTTTCTCCCACAACAACAACGGGCCGGGGACAGCGTCGGGTCGATGATCGTGTTGCTTTTAATCATACGAAGCCAGATTAAATTAAATAACGACTTCTCCAGAGTGCCGTGGTTCATTGTTTATTAATGTGTTTCAGCGGCATTTACCGACCGCTGCAGTGCTGACTGCTCTTCAACGGGAGTTTATTCTCCCGTTAGCTCCGGGTTAGCTCACACGGCTCTAAAGTATTCACTGTCTGACTGTCACACAAGCAGCTGATACATATCCCCAGTTCCCCTTAAGTGAATGTGTGTCAGTCTGAATTGACGCTGTTTGGCATCACAA